GGTATTATGGTTTTAAAGTAAGTCTTTTATGATTTGCTTTCTATTAATCAACCCCCCAGGGCTTATTAACTCAGAGGGGGAGCTGACAAAATTAAATTATTTCACCTGCAAAGGTCTAAGGCTCTAAATTATGGTTATTCCCCAATCCCCATGAGACCCAATTCAAACACCTGATGAGCCAACTCTCCACTCTGGCTAATCAGCTTACTCAAAACAACATCAGTGAGCATTTCAAGGTGAACAGATACTGGCTAGCAGTTGACATGCATCGTCAAAAAATAAATGAAGAAGAAAGGTTCTTCTATGATATTTTAAAAAGTTAATAAATAAGCCTGTCCATTATAAGGGAGAGGGCAGAAGAATCTTAAACTAAGAACAAGCCTGAGTTATTCATTAACCACTTCCTATTCTACAGTAGAATGAGGAATGTTGTCATCAAATTAGCCTATTTTACTTCAATTAAACATCTAGGCTATAGTCTCATGGTCAAAATGTAAGGAAAACAGTAGTGGCTAAGAAATGACATCCATTTATTGGGTAAATGTTTCACTGATCCTCCTTTTGTTCTCTGGCACTGACATTCACTCCAGAACAGTCTCTACAGCAACCACTCAGGGCTCCAGGCATGTGGTGACTTTTGACCTTAATTGGTGGATCCCACCTAGCTGTCTACCTAAAAGACCTTTCACAAACTCAAATAAACACAAGAAAGGCAGTCCCCTTATCTTGGGAGTCTATGTTTATCCACATAACCCTCTCTCTTCACAAATTGCCTCTCAGGCGGGAAACACTGGGCTTTTCTTGTACCTGTGACTGCCATTTGTTCCATTCAAACATTCCTTTGACCAAGAATGCATTGCCACTCTCTTTTCTGCTTTTTCCTTCCTATGTCAGCCTTTCTCGTCTCTGTCCTAAAACACTGTCAGCTTCTTCTCCGGGGACTCCCTGACCTTTACTTCAAACTATACATTTGATGGTTAGGTCTCTGCCAAAATATTCTCATATTTTTATGTTAAAAGAATCTCTATCTATGTAAGTTTACCAATGATTCTACAATCTGATTCAGTATGCTCTGAGTTGCCTCACTTTCCCTTCACCTCCTTGTCTTGTTCAAATTCAAATTTTATTCATGATTTCCAGATCAATGACAGTTCAGAAGGCAAGCAAGTCAAAGCGGCCAAGGGTGTGAGGCTAATAAAGTCAATTACAGAATCAACTATTAACTGTTGTCAGTAGGATGGAGTGTTGGGATGGAACAAACAGGGAGAGATGCAAAGGTTCCCATATTTAGGTTAAAATTCACAAATGATGAATAACGACAATGAGATATCACCTCACACTTGTTGAAACGGCTATTGTCAAGAAGACAAGAAATAAATGTTGGCGAGGATGTGGGGGAAGAGGAGCCCTCAAGCACTGTTGTGGGAATGTAAATTGGTGCAGCCACTATGGAAAACAGTATGAAGATTTTTCAAAAAATTAAAAATACAACTACCATGTGATCTAGCAATCCCACTTCTGGGTATATACCCACAGGAAATTAAAACAAGATATTGAAGAGATATCTGCACTCCCATGTTCACTGCAGCATTATTCATAGTAGCCAAGATATGAGGCTGGGGGGTGGGGGGTGGAGAACCTAGGTATCCATCAATGAATGGATGGATAACTAAGAGGTGATTTATATGTGTGTGTGTGTGTGTATATAGGAATATTACTCAGCCACGAGAAAGAAGGAAATCCTTTTATGTGTGACAACATAGATGGGCTTTGAGGGCATTATGCTAAGAGAAAAACAAATATTGCCTGGTATCACTTATATATGGAATCTTTAAAAGAAAAGAAGACAAAATTCATAGAAACAAAAAGTTGAAAAGTGGTTGCCAAAGACTGGGGAATGGGGGAAATAAGAAGAGTTTGATAAATGGGTACAAACTTTCAGCTATAAGATGAATAAATTCTGAGGACCTAATGTAAAACATGACTATAGTTGATAACGCTGTATTATATAATTGAAATTTGCTAAGAGAGTAGAACTTAAATATTCTCACACACACAAAGATAAATATGTGAGGTGTTGGATGTGTTAATTAACTGGATGATGGGAATCCTTTCACAATGTATACATATATCAACTCTTACAAATGTATTTGTCAATTATACCTCAATAAAGCCAAAAAAATAATATTCATAAATAATAAAAACACAGGATGATTGATAATATGGTGATTTTCTACCACTGTGACCAAAGTCACATGGGTAGAGTTATGATCAAGTGGGGGAGGGGTTACAGCTACTACAGTAATCGAGGCACGCAGGCTACATCACTTGCAGTAGAGTCCCTTTGCCAAGAGGCATCTCAGTATCCTACGTGCTGGCCTGGTCCCATCTGGACAAAGTGTCCCATTCAAAACATCCCATTTGAAGAGAAATACTGACCAATGAGTGTATATGAGGAGGAAGTTCTGAGTGGTAAGGATTCCAGGAACTGTGTCTGAAGAGGAGTCATTTAAATGCCATATGATTTCACTTATGTGTGGAATCTAAAAAAAACCCAAAAATTAAAAAATAAAGAATAAACAAAACAAAATAGAAACAGACACATAGATACAGGGAGCAAGCTGATGGTTGCCACAGGGGAGGGATGTGGGGGAATAGGAATTTTTTAAATTATATTTTTAAAGGATAAACAACTAAGTAAATGATTGCAGAACCTCTTGCTCTCTGAAATTCACAATCCAGCAAATTTTAGGACTGGGATAATGAGGGGTGAATAAAATAAAAAGAAAAAATAGAGAAATTATTCAAAGAAGTAAAAATGTCAATTTGGCAAAAACAGATAAGCTGTCTTTCACTGCTTATTTCTTGCTCATGGCAGCAAGAAGACCAGCAATTGCAAACTCAAATTTCCAAGAGGCCAGGCAAGAACATAGATGAGAGAAAAAAGATGTGTAAAGAAAGAAGAAAAAAGCTCAAGCATGACGATGCCACTGGAAATGTTCCCTGGCCTCAGAGTTGGAAGGGATGCCTACCGAGTGATAATGTCTGAGAGTGAGAGCCCACTGATGATCGTCACGTGTGAATGTGGGCCTGGTGCTGCCATCTTTTCTGACTTTTCAAGAGAAGACAGAAATCCAAATTTGTATGCAATGTGTCTCATTTTTAATTTTAGCTATTTCAAGACTTTTAAAGAAACATCCCACAGACAGAACATAAAGTATCTATGGAGAAGTGACCACCCAGGATTGCCAGTTCACAGTGTCTGTGACATTTCTAGGGTTGAACTGAATGTAACATTAAGACGCATGCATGGGAGGCTTAGTTGAGATATGAGAAGATTTGCAAATGTTTGGAATTCATACAGAAAATAGGTTTCCCATCCAAGTTCTGAGCAATGGGAAACAGTCAAGCAAATATTGGAAGACACTGTATGAAAAATGTTAGAGAAAGGGCTTTCTCCTTAGCAGAGATGTTGAACCAAATTATGTTATAATTATACGTTATACCAGAAAAGTGGTTTATAATTTACAAAGTTTTTATGTCAAATTATATTAAAATTTATTAGAAGTGTCCTGTAAGTAGAAAAGTCAGGTGTTTCTATTTTACAAGTGAATGAGCTAAGTATCTGATTATGAAATAACTTAGAGAAGGTCATCTGGGAAACTGGGCAGCAGAACTAGAAATTAGATGACTCAGGTCCTCTAACACCAAATTCAGTACTCATTCCAGAGCTTCTTCAGACTGTAAGGCTATAAGATTCCAGTCCTGGCTATGCTCAGAACTGAACTTACTCATTGTTGCCTTCCTGTGGTCAACCCACTCTCCACAAGTTTTCTCCTGCACATTTCCACATTCCTGAATGCCTTCCTGTCCCTTCCGCCACTCCCTTTCCTTCCTGATCTCTTGTTGAGTTTATTCTAACCCGACTCTGTCAGCTATAGAATTCTACTGCAAATCTCAGTGCTCCAAACTGACCACCCTTAACATGTATTTGTCCAAAATTTTTGCCTATCTTCTCTACGCCTTCTACCTATTTGTCTCTAGAAGGCCAAAACCTGTCTTAATGAACCCAGGGACAAAACCACATATGTGTATGCACATACACCTACACCCAAGAGTGGGTACTTGATCAATGCGTCATAAAATCATTATACTTCTTGGACTTTTAAGTTGACCAGGAGGAAGAGAATCTGTCGTCAACTGTGGCTTCTGGTGGCTGTGAGGTCGTTTCTACTTCCTGCCAGAAAGTTTGATTCCAGCAGAAGCCCACTGGGTAACCTTGTTTCTGTACATTCGATGCAGGAGAAGCTGTAAAGAATATCTGGTTCTCTGTATTTCAGGCTCATCAGTGCCAGTTCGAAACGTGTCATTATTCTTGAGGTTGACATGAACCTTGTCTGGGAAGAACAACAAAATTGTGGAGAAATTGCTAACTAAAAAAAAAAAAATTCCAAGTAACTTAATTTGGCTAAAACATTAGACTTTTTAAAATGTAAGCACTGCCAAGGATTTTTTTCTTGCTGAGTTGTGGACATATACCAAGTGCGCATATACTAATGCACTGTACTTAAGCCTGTGCAGCAAATGTCAATGTAAAATAAATTATTACAACTTGCATCTGTCGTCTAAAATGACAGATAAAATGTGTAAAAAATGAAAAAGGTGCATAGAAATTGGTAAAGGAGAAAAAAATTCCAAGAATGTCACTGCATTTGGCCAAGGAGGGAGCAGAATATTTTTGTTTTGTTTTGGTTGTTTTGTTTTCGGTCATCCAGCTGGTCAACTGACTCGTTCGGAATATTTCATGGTTGTGTTCTGAGGCTCTAATCTCTCCAGGCAAGGTTCATATTTGAGTGGGTTACTCATTTTCCCTTTGTTGACTAAGTCAATAATCAGAATCAGCAGGTTTGGAGTCCGGTTGGCAGGGATCAGCCGCTGGGGTGGGAGAAGCGAGTATAAAAGCCCCAGGCGGCGGTGCGGCGCGAGCTCCCGGCTCTCGGCAGGATGGCTTCTCTGCGCCCGCTGCTCCTCGGCCTCGCTGCGCTGGTGCTTGTGTCTGAGGCCGGCCCTGCGGTGAGTGTTTGAGCCTGTGCAGTCCCTTTCGTACATTTCCTGTGTGTGCTAGATGAAGGAGAAGCGGCTTCCTCCAGCTTTGCCAGCCGGCTTTTGTTGCTAAGGCATGGGTACCCAGAATCTATTTTTAAACATTATTGATTCAAACTTCAAAAAGAATGAAGTTGTGCAGAGCTCACCGAACTGGGGGTTGGATTCTGGGCTCTCTCCTCTATTGCTCTGGTTCGTTGAGATTGCAATGCTTGGTGCTTCAGTTTCTCCAGGGAGATGGTAGAAATAAAGATAAGGTATGCATGAAGCTATTAACATTGAATTTTTAGAAACACGTCCTCTTATAAAGTTTATTCCCTTTTAGTTAATCAAACTATTTTTTGATTGATCTTTGAAAGGCATGGAGACAAAGTTCTAGTCAGATATGTAATTCTTTTCTTTTTTTTTAAAATATATCTTTATTGATTTCAGAGAGAGGAAAGGAGAGGGGGGGAGAGAGATAGAAACATCAATGATGAGAGAGTCACCGATCGGCTGCCTCCTGCACTCCCCCAACTGGGGATCAAGCCCGCAACTTGGGCATGTGCCCTGACCTGGAATCGAACCCCGATTGCCTGGATCCTAGGCCGATGCTCAACCGCTGAGCCACACCCGGCTGGACAGATATGTAATTCTTAAGTCCCCTAGAAGAATTACCTAATACTATAAAAATGGATCATGGGATAGCCTGACATTAATCTGCAAAAACTAATAAGAGGGATTTACTTCAGCAACAACTGACTGAAATGCTCTTAGGAAGAACTACTTGGTTCGATGGCACATTACATCTTTTCAATAATTCCACTCAAATGGCAAGGCTTAACAAAGCAACTGTGCTCAGAGGGCCTATTTGCTCCCCTAAAATTCATTATACACCCGCCCCCTTGATTGCAGTGTGTCTGGAGGCAGAAACCATTCTTGCTTTGGAAACAATCATGTCTGTGTTTTACTGAGTAAGGGAAGCTCATTAACTGTCAACACTTGCATTGCTGGAAATGGGATTAGTATGTTCTGCCAGCCTTGTTCCAGATTTCTAACACCACGAAGAACAGACTCATTCATTCTGACCAGATTTGTTGACTTCTCACTTGTCTCCATGCCCAGGGCACTGGGGAATCCAAGTGTCCTCTGATGGTCAAGGTCCTAGATGCCGTCCGAGGCAGCCCTGCTGTCAACGTGGCCGTGAAAGTCTTCAAAAAGGCTGCCGATGGGACCTGGGAGCCGTTCGCCTCTGGGTAAGCTGCTCGACAAACCCAGATGTGGGCCTTCGGTTTATCTTCCTGTTCGCCTGCCACATGTTGGAGAGGGGGCCCACATCATTCGCTGAAGAATCTACAAATAGATTGAAAATTCGAGTAGAGGTCAAGGGGGCCCTGAGAAGGATGCCCTCCCCTTGCTTTGCTCAGCTGGGAGCAGGAGGAACCTGAGCCCATTTAGGGCACATGGCGGAGAGAGGAAGGAGCCGGCACCTCTTCTACTCCAGCAGTGGTTCACCACCCTTTTGGGTCACAGACCACTTCAGGGAGGTGATGAAAACTGTGGACTCCATGCCCAGAAAAATACACATATACACACACATGCAAAAATGCTTATGGAATTTCAGGAGATTCCATGGCGCCCTGGCATAACTCTCAAGCCGAGTCTTTGTCCTAGGATTTGAGGGAAGCTATACAATGTGTGTTCATTTATTAATAAAGAAAGGAATTGAGGGGCAGTGTTGACCAGGCACCTGCTGGTAATTTATTTGGATCATCCAGAATCCAGGGCTTTCCTCTAGCAAAGCCTTGTGGAGCATCTACTCTGCAAATCTGGGGGCTGTCCTGCTCAACAAGAAAGGGCACAGGAGAGAAAGGCACAAAACACAAAGCACAGTCACAGAAAAATGACTTCTCACCCTCGTTGACCACTTTACAATTTTTAGGGAGTTTTTCCACCTCCACTGGCAAGAATTTCAAAGAAAATGCATAGTAGTGAACCTAAACCAACTAATTGAAAGAAAGGAACCCTCAGCAGAAAGTAACACTGCTAAATGTTTCCATCTCCTGGGAGGAAAGTTTCTGTGGGTTTTAATTGAATCCCAAGGACCGCATTATGATTCTTCACCCATCATTGGGAAGACCATTTTCTTTGGTGTGGTTCCAACTGAGTTTTTATTTCTTAATTCATTTACATTTATAGAAATGCCAAGCAAAGTGTGGAAAGTAGTTAAGAGAATATTTCAAGTAAGAGCCAGAATGGATACCAAAAATATTCAGATGTCCATGTTAATCTTTTTTCTTATGACAAAACAAAAAAAGGAAATTAAATATTTACTTCCTGGAAAAACAGAAAAGTGGAAGGCAATGGTCAGAGTCAATAAAGATAACTTAGTTTTTGCAGTCTGTTGGAGAGCAATCTCAAACAACAGCTATTGAGTTGCTACTTATATGAAAATAGAAGTTGCCTAATTTTTTTTTTTAAACTTAAAAAAGGAGTTGCCTAGTATTTTTTATTGGCAAAGAGTTATCAAAGAAATTAAATATATAAATGATGGAAGAATCAGATACGGGTTTTTCATTGTATTTTGGGGTTCCCACTGTGTGTACAAATGATACCACCTCAGAAAGATCCCTTACGACATGGATAAACCCTGGTGCCATGGGGAACAGGAGTCAGAGTGACTTAGGGCCACTTCCAGGGGTTGTTATGAAGCTTTACCCAAACACCAACCCTGAATCGTGATGACTCTTTTTGAAGTGAAACATTATACCTCTATCTTGTTCTCCTAAGAGAAAAATACCTATAATGAGCTTTTGGGGGGAAACATTTTTTTGGAAATTAACTGACAAATTTCCTGTCAGTTAATTTCAGGCATTTAGTAGAATTTTCACTATCCTGACCTGGTTGAGAAAATACATATTCACATACACAAACTGCTCATGTGTGTGTGTGAGTGTGTGTGTGTGTGTGTCTGTGTGTTTGTGTGTCTGTGTGGTGTCACCTTGCCTTTAATCCCTAACTTAACCTAGACCTTTCACCTTTTAGGAAAACCAGTGACTTTGGAGAGCTCCATGGACTAACAACTAGTGATAAATTTGTAGAAGGGATATACAAAGTGGAATTAGACACCAAATCCTACTGGAAGGCACTTGGCATTTCCCCGTTCCATGAGTATGCAGAGGTGAGTGTACAGACTCTTGAGATGTTTTTTACTGTTATTTTGTTGTTTTTAATCCCAGGAAATGCACATTTTACACTCTGTGTACCATGGAAATGCATACCATAAAAATGTCATTGAACTAGCACAGGTTCCCTTTCTCATTTCTACAATCAGAAACCCACAAAACTGAAAAGCAAATTTTCTTGCTGAGTTTGGTGAAAACTCACTCAGGGACATGGCCTGAACTTACATAATGCTCTTATAGTCTTCATTTATTCTACTGAGTATAAATATTTGTTTGCTGAAGCAATATTAATATGTTAAATTATTAGGCAGCCGTCCAGAGCCACTTAGAATGTTATGAAACAAAAGATAGATGTATTATTTTACTCTTCTAAAAATCTAAAAAATTCTTCGTTCCAAAACATCTGGAAGCCAGAGGTTTGGATAAGTGTTTTGAGGCAATGCATATAGAGACAATGAATTCAAAATAATAATGGCAACACAATAGATAACATTTATCAAGCATATATCACATGCCCGACACTGTTGTATTTTCATTTAACCTATTTAATCTTCACAAACAACCCATTGGAGTCAGTCCTAATTTTAAGCCCATTGTACAGATGAAGAAAACAAGGCTCGGGGAAGTTAATTAACTTGTCAAAGGTCACAGGGCTAGTAAGGGGAGAAATAGCAATATTTACCAATAGGGCCCAGGCTGAATTTAGACTCAGGCATGCCTCAGCTTTTTTCCTATGAGAAACCAAGCTAATAATAATAATAATGCCACATTTCTAACCCTTGGCGCACACTCTATTCCTCTACTTACGAGGTACTAAGAACCTCGAAGTTATACATGGGCCCAATCTCTCTGCCTCCCCCTTGTCTGTAATTCCTTAAGTCATTTAAAACAGATGTCTGTCATGGAAATAGAATCCACACATGTTGTTCAGAGTTAAAGATCAACTAATTGCACCAAAAATAGCTTGGCGTGAAAGGGAACCATTCTCTCTGGCTTAGTCATGGATGGGACTTTCAAAAGACATAAAACGGCTCTTTTAGTAGACAGTGTTGCCAGGGAAACTGTAGGGGCTTATTTGACTCCTAGGGCCCACAAATCACAAAGGTAGTCCCATCTACCAAGAAGCATGTCTCTGGCTATTCTCAGCCAGGCAGCAAGATACGGAGCCTGGATGCAGTCGGGTGCAGGGTTTAAACGGTGCCCACCAAAAAGCACGTGCCCCTAGAGTCTCAGGCCCCACCTAGAGCACTGGATCAGCCTCCCTGATACCCTTGTCTGCCCTAGATCTCAGCCTGATGAGATGATCTGAGAAGATTTTGTGCTACCCGTGACGTTGCTCCTATTCATTAGACCACTCTTCACTCTTTTAGTATTCATTCAACAAACATTTTATAAACAAAAACCTATGTGTTGAGCACTCTGCTAGATGCTAGAGATTCGAAGAGAAAACACATCTCTGCCCTAGGAACGTATTAGGCAGGCATGAGCCAACTTGGATCCTGAATGGATATGGGGAATGAGAGAGAGAAAGTAGGCAAGCCTGAGCCCCACTGCCCCACTTTGGTGACTGGTGGATGCATGGTGAGCTCAGCCTGCCAGCTTCTTCTGATAAGGACCTCCCAGAACATTGCTACCCTTCAGCACTAGTCACCTCCTTCTTGGCCAGTGACCCAGGTGGCCATAGTAGACAGAGGAAGTTAGGAATTTCCTTTGAAGCTATTTGTCCTCTCCGTTTCATGGAATTTTGAGCACAGATTATGTCAGTTACAATTTTTAGGAAGAATTAAATGGGAACGGAGGCCAATGTCACCCTATTTGCCTCAGTCCAGGCATCTAACTATACCAGCACCTGCATCTCAGAAGCTCTACTAGATTTGCCTGAAGTACATGACTAACTGGAACAATACTTTGATTAACAACTTGCCCAATTAGAAAGCTTAAATGAACTCCAATACATGTGTGTATTTCTGAATTCCATCATGCTCTTCCACACTCTGCTGGTATTGTAAATAGAACCCTATAAAGCTTTTACTTCATATTTCATTGCTTGTTACATATATAAAATACACTTGATGTTCCTGGTAGAAAATGCAAAGGAATAATTGGAGAAAAGTCTCTGGGTTTGGACACAGAATCCTTAACCTCTAGTCTGGTCCTGTCACTGTGTGAACTTGGAGCAAGCATTCTGATTCAGAGCTCTGGTTTTCTTATCTGTAAAATGAGAAGGTTTCCTTCCAGCTCTGACACTCTAGCTCCCTTAAGTCTGCAGTGCGATTGGCAGAAACCATTCTAAGACTTCAGATCACTAAATTCGGGTCTCTGCATTCTCCCCTCCTTTTTCTAAAACCAAGGAAATCAACAAGAGCATTTAGACTCTGTGTGATTTCCCTCAGTCAGACTAAAGCCACCTGATTTTCAGCATGAATTTTCAGCAACAACAACAATAACAAAAAAGACCTTATCAGATAGGGAGTAGAGAAGAATTCTTGTTCTAAGGACTGCACAAGGCTCCACTGGTCAGCTTGCCAGCATATTTGGATTTTTGCCTTTTGTTCTGTTCCAAAAAACAAAATAACAAACGTGATTTTTTATTTTTTGACAGTGGATTTCCAGTGATCTCTCTGTCCATGATTCTGGTTGTTGGGCTCTGTTAGAAATGGATCCTATCTATGTTCTCTCGTAGGTGGTGTTCACAGCGAACGACTCTGGCCAACGCCAGTACACCATTGCTGCTCTGCTCAGCCCCTACTCTTACTCCACCACAGCCCTCGTCAGTGGCCCCAAAGAATGAGGGACCCCTCCTTCGGTCAATTTGAAGGAGGAGAAACAGGATTTCGTGTAACCAATAGCATTCCATTTTTATTAAAGCAGCATTTTCACTTTATAATCTATATTAGACACTCAGGCAGAGGCAATAAAACATTCTTATTAAAGCACTTTTCATTTCATTTGAATTTGTATTTTTTATTCCCTTATTGTACTCTGGAAAATATTCCAAATTTTACAGAGAAACAAAGGAACTCAAAAACGTCTCCAGCCGAGCTCTGAGAGATATCTAAGTTTCCATAGTCCTTCCAGCTAAGCACGTACACAACATGGACTGCAGCCATTGAAAGCACACATTCTGAAAATGAGAAAGCTTTCTTTTCCTTTAGCTTTCAGTGAGTAGCAAAAGACAAACTCTAAGGGCCTACTTTTTCACTCTGTGCATTCCCTTTAAGTGTTTTCTTGATTTCAAGAATAGCACAGCTCCACCAGGACAGACCTGCAGTGACTCAAGCCCTCTGATCCCGTTCAGACCAGCTGTGCTCCTTCTCCTAGTCAGGTGACTGAGGGATATAATCAGAGAACCCTCACAATCCCCATTCACTTAGGCAAATCCAATATTCATGTATTGAGAGACAACTATATGCTGAGCGCTATTTTAGGTGCTCTGAACATGAAGAGTAAGCTCAAGTGCTTGCGTTCAAAGAGCTCACATTCTTTTGAGAGGATAGCTGGGTCAATGGGATTTGACAGTCTGTGGCACAAGGCACAGCAAAGGCAGGAAAGGGAATAGTAGCAAACTGGTTGGAGAAGCCAGAGGATTCAAAATAAATGTCGCTTAATCTGAATCCTGGTGGTTTATCAAGTAGAAAAGCAAGAATATGTTCTAGGTAGAGAAAGCAGAGAGTACAAGGCCGAGCCAAGAGAAACAACTTGGTAAGTTGAGGCAACAGATAGAGATTCAGAACGTTGAAGAGTAGGGGAGATTAAGGTGGGGGAAGTAGTGATACTGTAACGAACAGCCCCATATCACTGTGGCTCAACAAAAACAAAGTTCTTTTCTCGCTCAGGCCAAGTCCAAGCAGAAGTTCTTGGTCTGGTGACTCTCAGAGTGGCTTTCCTCCAAATGGTGATTCAGGGCCCCAGTTTGATTTAGTCTGTGGCTTGAAGGGATTTGAATTTTTGCATAATCTCCAAGCTGGATACTGCAGGAAATTAGTCACCCAGTCAGCAAACCCGAGGAAGAAAGACAATATTAGCACCCTCTTGCTGAAGTGTCACACGTGATTCCCAGTGCATTTCACTGACCAGAAATATTTACATGGTCTTATTTTAGATGCACTTAGTAATGTGGTTCCTGGCTGGGAGTCACTTCTCAAAACAACCCTATATTCTGGAAAAAAGACACTAACCATCTCTGCCACAGCAGGGTTGGGAATGGTGGGAAATAAGCCTGGAGTGAAGGGGGTTTTACCAACTACCTGTTAGAGCTGTGAATTTGTTGTATAGCAATATGGATCCATTGATGGGAACCTTGTCAATGGTCATCCCCCATTATTTCTTGTGCATAACCTCCAATCAGGATGCTGCAGGAAAACCTGGGTCAGGCCCAAGGCTTAGGCCTAAACATACATAAACAAAACAACTTTTCCATTTTCCTCCAAGTTCAAATCTAAAGTCTTGCCATGCTCTAGCTGGCTGTAGAGAGAGAGAAAGACATTTCAAAAGAGTGGAATGTAGGTTTAGACTTTTTAACATGTACTGAGCTTTCCCACAAATATACGTAGTAAAATCAATGCCTCTGATTCTGTTGAATGAGGTTATCAAGTCTTTCCTCCATATATGTTGAGATAATGCGTACCAAGTTGCCATTTTTGTAAATTAAATGATCAAATATTGGCAATTTCACAAGATTTAATCTAATACCTACAGTAATTATATTGGTCTCTGACCTGCCTGCTTATAAAATGCTATTTTTCCATTTGGCTGCTATTAAATAGCTATGGATTTTCATTACCCAAGGAGTTTGAAAATATGAAACTTCCATTTATACATATATCAGAACTGAATTTAACTTTCCAACCCTCACTTCCTGTTGTTATCAGCAAAGGTAGTCTTGTTCATGGAAATCAATTCAGTTTGACTTCTAGTTTAATACCTGGCCTCTTCCTTCCTTTCTGAATTTCATCTACCCTCTGGAAACTATATAGTAGCATCTTGGCATAAAATGGAATGTGTTGTCTGGTCCCTGATAGTTCTCTGTCCATGCTGCTTCCACTGAAATGACCCTTTTCTCCTTTGTTCTTTGTCATTATGTGTTAGTATCTTGGCTTATGCCCTTTCACGGCCACTGTTATGGGTTGAATTGTATCCCCTAAAAAGATATGTTGAAGTCCAAGCACCTGTGATTGTGACATTATTTGGAAATAGACTTAGTAGATGTAATTAGTAAGCATGAGGTCATTAGGGTGGGCTCTACCCCATTACGACTGGTGTCTTCAGAAGGGGAAAATGCAGACACAGACACGCAGGGAGAACACCATGCGATGGCAGAGGCAAAGAGTAGAGTGATGCAGCTACGAGCCAAGAACACCGAGACTGACAGAAGGATTCTCCCCTACAAGTTTCAGAGGGAGTGGGGCCCTGCTGACACCTTGATTTTGAACTTCTAATTTCCAGAACGATGAGACAACAAGTTTCTGTTATTTTAAGCCGCCGACTTGTGGTACTTTGTTACTCACCCCAGGGAAACTAATATAGCCTCCTAAGGGAGTCTTCCACGTTTTATCCTGGGCTTGTATTCATTGACATCTTTGCCATTCTGAAAGTCAGATTTACATTCAGTATTTATTTTTATTCCTTTTTTGTACTTAGTGACACTGAACATTGTCTTATATTTATTGACCATTTGAATCGTTTTTGTGAACTACACGTCCACATCATTTAGCCATATTGTACAGGGGCTTCCTTTATTTAGTATTGATTTATAAAAGCTCTGTGTATATTTAAGATATTGCAAGTTGTATTTGAAAAGTAGATGTGACAGAGGGAGGAATAGTTAAGTTGTAGAAAACCACATCAGCCAAGATACTTTGGTGGAGGTTAGTGTGATAATTACACACAAGGGGGTGGGAACTAGGTTGTAAGAAGCAGAGAGTCGAAAACTCATGGGGCGGGGTGGGGATTTTAGATGGGTACGTTAGGTTCAGGCTATAGAATCACTGAATGCTGGGATTTGGAAGCTTTAGGGGGAAAAGAAAGCTGAGATACAGAAAGTTAAGTATTTGCTCAAAGCCATGCAGAAAGCTCTGGAAAGCCCTGACAGGCAGAAGATAAACAGATTTGTCACAATAGTCCTTGGTTCCCCAATTAATTTAGACAGTGAGAAACTGCTCACTAAAAGCCTTGAAGTAGTGATGAATGCAAATAAGAAAATCCTGCCAATAAAACTATCAACTTTGGTGGCCTCCAGTCAGCCCTACTCTCTTTGTCCAAAAGATAAATATGTTAATTAATCTCATTCATGGTCTTTCACACTAATCAGAAACCTAGGCTTCACTTACTTCCTTAAAGCTACAGGGATCTTCATCATGTTTTATCAATTTCCCAGTGACCTCAGGAATAAGGGTATGGCTGAAAGTTTCACCCTATAATGGATAAATGTGGGGAGAAGAACTGTGATGATTAATGTTATTTGTCAACTTGGCTGGGCCATGGTACCCATGGTCAAACACAAGTCTAGATGTTGCTGTGAAGGTATTTTTAGACAGGATTAATATTTTCCCCAGTTTTGTTGAGATACAATTGACATATAATATTGTGTAAGTTTAAGGTATAAAACATGATGATTTGATTACATATATATTGTGAAAAGATTACCACCACCATAGCATTGCCAGATATCGCCTCGTGAACTGTTCACTGTCCATCAGGCTGGCCTCCTTGCTCTGACCTGTGGTTACTCATCACTTCACATGGTCACCTTTTTCTCTCTCATCATTTCAGATATAAACTTCGAATAGGAATGGTGTGCTCACTTTGTACATTCCTCTAAATGTATTCATATCTCTAGCTTTCCGCTCCTCTCCCTCCTCGGAGCCCTGTGCTGTGCTTTGGGAGCCTAGCAGGGAATGGTTGGGGATTGGTGCTGCCAGAGGACAAGAGGGAAAGTGTCAGAGAAGAGATCATGGATGAATGGAGTCATAGAAATTGCCGTGGTGGGAAAGGAAGGCATGGACATGAGCATGTGGTCAGTATTGCTAGAGGACACAGGTCAGAGCAAGGAGGCAGCCTGAGGGACAGTGGACAGCTCACAAGGCAATACCCGGCAATGAGACAGAGGAATCAGAGAGGAAGAACCCTGGAAGCTGGAAACCCACACAGTGTTGTTGCAGCATTATAGGCTGGTGATGATAACAAACAAGGTTCAACCAGAAATCAGGAGACGAGAACAGTGTCAGTACTCTGTAGCTGAAATCCTGCAGGAACACATCCATGTCGTCAAACAGGTGGGATTTATTACTCATCCCAGCCAGAGGGAGCACACAACACTCTCACTAACAGAGTGTTAGAAAGAATCTATTATAGGATTTGAGCTTTGGTTGGGTAATTTGGGGGAGAGTCTAAGGAAGTGGGACTTCCCCCTGGATTGGATGCTATCAGAAAGTGGGGACAATTCTATGATTGAGTGTCCCAATGGTTTATCTGTAGGGAGGGCCAACCAGAGCAGAGATAAAACTGTAATCAGTAAAGTAGAAGCAGTTACTCCTTTGAGTGAGAGGGGAGATTTGGTATTTTGTGGGTTTCGCAGTGATTTTGTTTTCGTCTTACTTTGCTCTGGTCGCAGAGCGGCCTAGTTGATACTGATGTTCTGTGAGGCGGTTGTGTCCAGTGCAGTGTGTCACAGACGGGCTTGTACAACACCGCGGCCAATTCCCAGATGTCAGGAGCTGCTTCTTCACCCCTTTCCCTCCCCCGTGTCTACAGAGGAATCTAAAGTAGAAATCAGGAGGGAGCAGTGGTAGCTCTGTTGT